CATTTTTGGCAACTAGCCGCAACGGATAAAAAAGTGCCTTTGTCGGCACATTAATTGTAACACCGCGCAAAAGTTGATGACGCGTATCACCAGAATACACAGACGTAATTTTACATTCATTTGCAGGAGAGTAAATATGATTATTTTCATTTGCTTGTAAATATATGGGTATTGGTTTAAATGCTTGTAGAATATGAATAATTTATTCTATAAAAGTATACAAAGTGCATATAAAGATATTTGCACCTTGTGATGTTGGTGTATTCGAGTATTCGATTATTCGAGTATTCGAGTATTCGAATATTCGGATATTCGGATATTCGAATATTTGGATATTCGAATATTCGAGTTATGACTTCACATAATTATTCGCTTTTCGAATATTCGAATATTCGAAAAGCGAATAATTATGTGTAGTCATAACGAATATTCGAATATCCGAATATTCCAATATCCGAATATTCGAATATCCAAATAATCGAATATCCGAATATCCGAATATTCGAATACTCGAATACATCAACATTATCAAACTCACAAGGTGCAAACGCGTTGTTACAATTAATGTGCCGACAAAGACACTTTTTTATCCGTTGCGGCTAGTTGCCGAAAAATGATATGAGATAAAGATTTTTCTTCTTGGAAAACGGTGAACGGAAAACAAACACTCGAATATCTAACGAATACGAATAGAAATACTCGAATACTCGAGTATTCGAGTATTCGAATAATTTTACTATTCGAATAAACCATAAAACTACTATTCGAATATCAGATTTTTAAAAATTCCGAGCCCTAGTAAAAACGCATTATTATACAGGTGGAAGGTGGCAACATAGATCAAGCTCACCACAGAGGTCATGCCAGAAAAGCTCTGGATGAAACTGCCGCTCTAAGCGATGCTGTTGAGGTGGCCCTCAATATGACCGACGAACTGGAAACTCTCATTATAGTCACCAGTGATCATTCACACTCAATGTTGCTGACTGGATACCCAGATAGAACTCAAGGAGTACTAAGTATGAAATAAATATAAACTAGGACACTCTCTTATTCATCTACACCTTTCAGGCTACTCTACATCGGAAATGGACGAAAGACCGTACACAAATCTTGTCTATGGAACGGGAGGACCTAATAATTACCAGTTTTACGTTGAAAATGATACTGTTCAAAGAGTTGATCCAACTACAGAAAACATGACGGATTTCGAATATTCTCAACAAGCTGTCGTTTATAATGACGAAGTTACTCACAGTGGAACGGATGTACTAGTATACGCTACCGGTAGTATTCAACAAAAATATGAATATTCTAATTAATTAATTTAATAATAATATAGGTCCTATGGCACATTTATTCAACAGCGTCCATGAACAAAGTTATGTTGCATATGTCATCAGTTACGCGTTGCAGATTGGTGTTTTTGAAGGATATGAAGCGGACCCTGAGGAATCAGCAGCAATGTATTACCATTGCTCTTGGGTCCCAATAGTCGGTGTATTTCTGCTATTCATATACCAGCTAATGTGTTAATCGTCTTGCAGTGTTTCTTAAAATAATGCCCATTTAATTCTATATTATGGAAAATGTTTGTCGCTTTTGCTGCATCTACTTGGGAAGTATACCTATTATAAAACGGTGCTTTTAATCTCATAGACGTATTGCTATTTAGTAATAAGAATGATAGAATAATAGGCAATTTGTAGTTAAAAGAGTAAATAAAAGTAAGAAAAATTGATATATCGCACTTTTGCACGCTTATTATTCGACTTTACGTGTAATGCGGTAATGCGTAGTATTACTGCAAATTCCTTGACTGCCACAAAATTCAGTTCAATCGCCTTTTTTAAATTTCCAATTGTTTTATTATTTGAAAGCCTATTACGAGCGGCTATTTGCTTCGGAGTTATTATTATTAAAACTTATCCACCTAGAAAACGCTCATGTGACATTTCAAGCAGTGCAATTGATTTTACTGCTACCAAATTCAATTCAATCGCGCTTTTTTCTGAAATAGTACACGTCTGTTTGCATTATTATGCATTGCAAGGAGTGTAATTACCTTTACTAATGCCATAAAATTCAGTTCATTGAGGTTTTTTTGAAATGGCACAGATTTTTAATTAACTAAATATTCTTTCACTATTCATAGTCTGATAACTAAATGCCTGTTAGAAACAGTTATTTGCTTCGGAGTGAGACTTATCGAACTAGAAAAGCGCATGTTGGGTAATTAGAAAAAGTGAAATTTTCTTTAATAATACATAAAAGTCCTTTCAATCACGTTTTTTCTTTAAATTCTACACATTTTTATCATCTGAGAGCCCATAAAGAGCGGAAGTTTGTACAGGATTAGTTTCAAAAAATACATTCCTGCAAAACCTATCGAGGTAGAAAAGCGCATGATGCAGCAATTAAAAGAGTGTAATATTTTCGCTAATAATGCCGCAAAATTTCAGTCCAATCGTGCTTTTTCTGAAATTGTATTTTTTTAATTATCTGAGACCCATTAAAACCAACAATTTCTAGTTTCAAAATGTAAGTCCTTATAATAAGTCCTTCGATCAATTTCTTTCAAAGACCGCACTCCACGAATTCATATCGGACGCAGCGTCATTCCGCATGCAAAAACGATTTGAAGACGGTCGAAAAAAAATAATAAAAACGTAACTAACATAAAAACTGTTTGTCAAATCAGAAAGATGCCTTTATTAACCCGGCAAAAAATTAAGACATTTCGATGATCGCAAGCAAAAGTTTGTGTCGATCACAAACACCATGATCGCAAGCAAGGTGCAAAAAAGGCAAAATAGACAGAATCAATCAAAATCAATAATACTTTTAATTGATAAAACGACCAGATACACATGACACTACGTAAAAGGGGTAGTATTTTTGAAAATTCCACAAAATCAGCATTTAATGAAACGATTTTCCATTGAAATATGCTTTATTGAAAACCACAAAACAGCTCAGAACTGCTGTCACCCACGTTTCAAAAAATCAATAAGGTATCACTTTCGTAAGGCAATAATTTACAAAGATTGAGTAGATTAAGAAGCATGAGTAGCAGCTTTTATGATTGTAGTGATCAAGTCCTGGTCCTCCTGTTGGGTGCCCACCCACCACATGCACAAAGCATTCTCATACACGGGCATCGTCCTGGAGTGATGCAACGGATCGATTGCGTGATGTTGACCGCTTGCTGTCGCCAGAATGGGCCTGTAAGGATGTAAGCTCACCCCATTACAGCTATCGTTATGCAAACTCATCTGAAACGTAAACTCCAGTGAATATTTGCAGGCGATTTAAATGAGTGTCATTTACCGATAGTCGAACTATGTCATCGAGTCCTATTAGGATAATTAGTTGATTTTTAAGTGATTTTATGTGGAAATAAATAAATTAATAGTCCTCGATTTAAGTCCTGATGGGTCACGAAACGTGACTTGAAGACCAACTGTATAACAGCCTGTAAATATGTCTAATGTACAAAAATTATTTGTATACAAGATTGACTACACGATGTTTAGCGTCATTCAATAGAATAAGATGTTTTAAATATGCGAACCGCATAAAACAAGCGTTAGTACAACATCGTGGAAGAATGACCTGCTCATGTTTATTCAGAATGGTGTGCCAAATTCCCTAAAGACAGTAAAACCAATTCCTGCAGCTCAAGTAGATGTACCGACCTCAAAGCTCCAAACTATACGAGAAAGTAACTGCCGACAGGTACTAATGATAGTTATACATGTCAGACTGTCTATATAATATAGCATTTAAAACATCCTATACTTGCCAGACAGTCATTCGTTGAAGAATAAATAATTACTTACAGCCAGGAATAAAATATAAACCTATGATTCTTACCTGCATGTGAACTGTGGGATAATGCTGTTCGCTGACGTTCCAAATTTGCACCTTACCATCACTACCTCCGGACACTAGCCATTTATTATCAGTGGATAAGTCAATGGTGATTTTCTGATTGGTATTACATTCCCTGGTTAGAACAAACATTGGCCTTCCCGGCACCTGAAAATATAATGAAATTATTAAAACACTTTTTATCTCGCAACGGCATGGTATATTTTCCTTGAATACGTATTAAGTCCAGTAGTATCTTACACGTAAGTCCCAACATATCAACTCCTTGTCTTTTCTTGCTCCAGTGTACAGACGCGAACCATCCAATGAGAAAACCATCGAAGTAATGCCTCCTTTATGAGCCTGAAGTTTGCACAGATGTCGAAAGGTACCATCGCTTTGGGAGACAAGTTCAACTGTGTTTCTTACCGTGCCTGAAAATTATAAATTTTATTTTACTTTTATTTATTTCTAGAAATTCCCTCTTGCAAATATACACCGGATCACAATCGTTTTTGACATAGAATTTTGCCTTTAAACTAAAATCCATTAAAGAGACCTTCTGAGAAATTAAATTTAACTGATTTTTGTTGAATTTATTAAAAATTTCAATTTTAACTTGTGTCGGTTTGAGTTTAAGTCATTTTGGAACTTCTTTGGATTATTTTCTTACCTATGGCAACAACACCCGGTTGAGCCTGACTTGCAACTATACATGATGCCTGGTGTGAAATAGGATATTCATCGCATTCTCTTCCAGGGCGACCTGTAGTAAAGATTTTCACATTTTTCTTGTAGCCGCAAAACACACTTTGTCCATCAGCGGAGAATGTTAAACACATGGCGGCTTCTAATTCATCTACAGCATTGTATCCTCTATAGGAACATCTCAGGTCTCCTGTAAAAGCATCCCACAGGTGGATTGGTCCTTCGTGTCCGCTCGAAAGCCAGCTGAAAATATAATATATCGTGAATTTTCAACATGTAATAAGACGAAATTGTTATAGGGCTCTTTAATGCAAGCTTGTTTACATGGGCCCAAGATAAGAACCATCGGGACAGCAGAAACCGTCAATGATACGTTGGTTAAATGGGAAAAAAGTAGTGCAAAATGCAAACAAGTTGAGCGAATAAAAAACGCTTTCAGATCTTTCGACATGACTTCGAATTTGAATTCACTCGACTTCCTACTGTTTTAGTTTGCATCTAACCGAACTTGAGAGATTAGAAACTTTTTCTCGGGCAGCCTGTTAGTACCTATATCTAAGTAGGTGTATCAGTAATAGAAGTAATAGAAGCAATTATTTACAAAGCAAAAATTCACTTGTTCATGATATGATCTTTATGCAAATAAAACATCAAAATGCATTCTTACCAGCAAGTTGCTGGATTACTGCTATTCATGCCCGGATACCAAATATAGTCGTATATCAATCCGGCTTCTGGTACAGATATCGCTGGATTTAATGGAACAATCGGACGACTTTGAAGAACACTGTCGCAAGAATATAAGTCAGGCGGGAGCTCAAATACGTTCATACCGCCTCCTCTTATGGCTGAAAGGAGGCAAGTACCATCTGGGGACCACTTACAGCCCTTTAAGTAGTGCTGATCGGCATAGTTAGGCCATTGTGCTCTTGCAAGTTCTAGTGCTGTATTCTCGAAATTATATGCGGCGTAGGCCATTGCAGGGGCCTCAGTATAAACCTCGCCTTCCATTTTATGGCCGTATTTACCTTAAATAAGGAAAAAAACGTTGGGAATGTTTATAATCACACTGTTACAGACAGTTCCTTGGCACTTTCTCGTCAAAGACACTACACATATCACACTAGCACGTTTCAATACCGCAAGTCACGTTCAGCCTTTACAAACTGTACAACGCGATGGAAAATATGAATGATTAGTTTTATATTAGCGTTTGCTGGATTTTCAACTTTGTAATAGTGAAATCGACTTGGAATGATAAATTAAACGATTCCCAAATTTTCGGAAAAATGGATATGACATAATTGACATTCGACGGTTAAAACATCGTTGCCTATATGATTTTTAATTATGTATGCAACTCATGATACAATGAATACAATGTACAATGCAGTTGTATTTGTATTCATCTATGGTACAATGCGACTAGCCCTGTTGCTAGACAAAGCAAGTATTTGCGAGAGATGAGTAAATTTTTCTTTATTTAATTCTTAATTTAACAGTTGCAGTTAAACACGAAAAAATGATGGTCACCATTGAATTCAACAAAATTGTAGTAAATGTGATAAATTTTACCATACAAAAATAAGTGCAACTAAAATGTGACTTTTCGCAGAGAAATAGAAAAATATTGAGGTATTTTATCCACTATAGATGTATCAGAAAAATGACACAAAAGAGCTGAAAATCGTACTATAAATATATACAATAATAATATAAATATATAATATTATATCGATAGTCAACGCCAACATGTATGTACTCTTAACAACCGTCATTGTTCTCTACAAGCTTTTAAGGTTACCTCACTTCTGACATGGAATATTGTTGTCAAATCCCGTAAATTAAAATGTTTTTTTAATAAAAATATCACATATAATTATCATAAATATGAAAATTAACGAGAAAAACTTGTGTGCTTATGCGGTGTCAGCCACGCCGGTGGATAAAGAAGGCTACTTAAACAAAAGGGGCGAAGTTAATAAGACTTTCCTTAGAAGATACTTTGTTCTCAAAGGCAATTTATTATTTTATTTCGATAAGAAAGGCGATAAGGAACCTTTGGGTGTTATAATACTGGAGGGATGCACCATAGGTGAGTATTTCGCGTATTTTTTAATTTTTTTGTTATATACCTACAAGGTGTTTAGTAATTATGCAGTTTTACATCGAGTACTCAAGAAAACCGAACTGTGTTATGATTTTTATCTTAACTGCATAGCTTTACATATGTGCTTAAAGGGATTCTGTATAAATATACAGAGATACTCTATTATGAGTTATTTAACGAGTATCTAATCCGAGTGTCTCGTTAAATAGCTAATCATTTAAAGTTTAACAGCAGCTTATTTGGATGTGGATATATTGATATGAGAACAAGATATGAATATATTTTAAAGATTATATATCAATTATGTTAACAAATTAAGATTGACTAGACGAAATGACTCCAAAAGCATATACATAAGTAAATAAAAGTGTTCCGACATATCATATACTCGGCCTGAATACCTGAAAAACTGATCAGCTTCGAAAGTAGGCATCTATTTTAACTTTCTTTCTGTTACACAAAATTAACTATCATACAATAAAAAAATATGTATGTATCTCTTAATCATTAAAATTACAGTTGAGCGAGACATGGAGCAATACATTTGTTCCCCACGCTTTTTTAACACGAGAAAAAATGAGTTTTTTGGCTCGTATAATTCGTAAGATTTTTTTTCGACAAAAGTAAGTATGTATAATGTAATAATCAATACAAATAATGTATTTCGTTACAGAGTTAGCTGAAGAGGAAGAACAGTTTTGTTTTAAAGTCCTGTTCCATGGAACAAACAATAGAACATACATTTTGGGAGCTGAATCTCAAGAGGCAATGGAACAATGGATGAAGTCGCTCGCATGTTCCAGCTACGATTATATGAAGCTAATGGTTGCTGAGCTACAAAGACAGTTGGATGACATTGAAGGTAAAATGGAGACAATTTGAGGAGATTTTTCATGTCGTAATTCAGGTGCAACTCGAATCTATCTTATTGGTTATCTAAAAGTTTGAAGTACTTATCTTATCAATTTTGAATATTGATATTAATTCGACAAATGTGTCTAAATTAATGAAAAGTTAGGATATGGAAAGCGCAATTGATAGTTTTGAAAATGGTAAAAGCAAATTTTTTGTTGTTTTAGACACGCCGGTAGTTGTTCCTGTTACTCAGGCGCAAAACTCTCCAGTGGCCCCACCAAGAACACGACACAATCCTTTTAACAAGCCGGATAACAGCACTCATCACAGGCCTTATAGTATGAGAAATGCGACTCAAAGTAAGTAGAAAATAAATCTTTATTATTAATTTCTTCAATTGACATATTTCTTATAATTTGTGTTTCCCTTTTCTTCACCTCTGATTGTTTATATGTATGTATTTACATTTATGCGATAATAAATATTATTATGATTTCAGTTTGAAATTTGAATGTATTGTTTTTTTGTTAAAGGTAAGGCTGATGAATCATCTAGATATCCTGATCAGCAGGCGGCATCACCATTACCAAAGAACACCGTGATAACATTCAGAGAATTACATAATTCATATGGAAGGCCCATTCTTCAAGATTTCAACATTTGGAAAAGGCAACAACGAAATAAAAGAGATAATGCGATTGGAAATCTTATCAGTTTCTAGTTTTAAAATATGGAAAACTATTCAGACTGACCAGTTATAGAAATTAATTTGATGCCAATTATTAGAAAGTAAATGTAGAAGTAAATTTATCGTACTATTTTTCGAATGAATAACTTTCTAAATGCTTCGCTTGAATAACGCATTGCAAACATGCTTAAATGTAAAAAACTTCGGCGCGTGTTAATCATCATCTATATTTCAACTTCTCCTAGCCAAAGTTTATGTATGGATTAGTATTTATTTTAGATTTTCTTTTGTATTTGTTTTTATGTAATGTAAAGTGTACGTTTAGTTAAATTTCGTGTGATGTTCTGTTGTAAGATTTATTTAGTGCATGCATTTACAACTAACCTATTTACTCAAGTCGTTGGATAATTCAATTGCATATATTAAAGAAACCCAGCCACTTAAACATAAAATTTAATTTCGGATTTGCAATATTATGCTACCAGTATTTAAATGTATTTAATCATTACTATTATTTTAATATGTCAAATTTCGTGCCCTGGAACCCACTAGCAATAATGTAATAAAATATTAGTTCTGGTTTGATTCGCATTTGTTTGGCAGATTTGCAAGTGACCGGCCAACAACTTGAGAACAATTAATACTTGACACAAAGTGATTCTCCAATACTCAAAAGATTATTTTCCTCTAGCTAAAGAATTGGAAATAAACCGTTCAAAGAAGAAAATTTTAATATTACAATGAGTAAAATAAAGGATCTCTCCTAATTATTGTCTGAATGTTGAGTGCTTTATCAACCGAAAGAAAAGAGTAATACAACGAATTATACTCATGGAGTGGTTTATTAATAATACCTAATTAATATGTATATAATTATTTATAAAGTTATTAACATTTCGTGTGTATTTTACTAATTCAACTAATGTCAATAAAGTATGTACAATTTATTTAACTAATTTATATTCCCCAATTCCCTAAAATTGACATATTCTTACAACAATTATTATTATTTACAAAATTGAGTTCCTAACATCTCAGGAACGTTCGCATACACATCAGCTCTAAACTATCTAATTAATAAAAATATATATATTATACATACATACGTTATGTAATTAAAAGTATTATATAAATAATATAAACAAACGTAAGTAAAATTTATGAAACAATGATTTAGATAAGATATATGATACAGAGGTAAAACAGATAAATTTGTTTGTCTTGTATACACAAAATACTGTCAATTAAAATCAGCTAAATAACAATATAAAAAAATTGTAAAATGTCAATCGCAGTATCAAACAAAATCACAGAGAATGTGAAAGTAAATCATACTCGGAGAATAAAAGCTATTAGTAACGATCAATTTTGGTTAACAGAATAAACAATTACTAGATGATGTCTAATTTAGAATATTTTCATTTGATTACAAAGTAAATGTCCACTCACATTTTCACAGTTGTAACAGTAATGAATTAGTGCTATTGGTTTTAAAATGTAAGGCAATGTAATTCCATAATTTTCCAATGCAAGTAGCTTAAGGGACTAGCCCGACATGCATATTTTAACAAATTAATGAAACACGATATGGTACCATATACCAACTTGCATTAGTAGCTAATTTAAAATTTTGCTGGTCGTGTTCTTCAAACAATTTGTGACTGAATTTTTGAAAATGAAGGACTAAGTCTGAGTGTGCATGTGGTACTTAGCGCTTCATTTTTCAAAATTGTTCTTTAAATCAGGTCTCTTATGGACGTATTTGGCGAAACAATGTGCGCATTTTAAAAGCTAAAACAGCATCCAAAAGAACGATGTCTAAGAGCGAGAATTACAGATTAAACATAAGCGAATTTACCGCAGATTGCAATTTGCATTTTGGGAGAATGGTAGCAAAAAAATCCATTAACGCAAATGGAAGATCGATTACACATTAACAAATCAATTATAGCACCCAGTGCTAACAGAATCTTCAGTATATCGCTTCTACAATTTAAACTTAAAAGTATTGCAACCTGTGTGAAACACACTTAGCTGCGCAGTTACCACCTCTGAAGCATTGCTAATTTAATTTAAAATGTTGGCCCCAGTTACTTTCTTATTTTTTACATTCTTGTAGTAGACTGTCTAGCTTTAAATGGTGTACAAATTTATTTTATGTATTAGATATACGTTAAGTATACATATTTCTAAAGTAGTTCTAAGTACTTTTATTTAATTAAATAAACAGTTTGTATCAATTGGCAATTTAAAATTGAATATGATGAAAGTTTTTAATCATTCTTAACAAAAATTTGAATAAGGTTTAAGTATAATCATTAGTAATAAGTATGTAATGCTGGTTCTTGTTAGTAAAATGAATCAACAAAATAATTAGTTGAAAGTTGGTTTTTTTTATAAATTTTTATTACACAGTAACAAACAATAGCAAATAAATTTGATAGTTTGAATGTTACAAGTACATCTTGCCATTCTGTAGAACAGATAAATTGTCTATGTTTAATAAACATGGAAAATTTATATTTCATTTAATTATTTATCCAAATATACAAACTGTTTGAATGATTTTAACCCAGAAAATATTTTGATATAACACTAAATGTTTATATTTACATACATTTAAATTTTTGATGTTCCAAGAGTTTAAATGCTGTTTGCTATTTCACGATACATCAGTTGATTATATTGCTGGTTAAGTTTATTCCTTGGTGTATGTTTTATATATGCAAAAAAAGTAAAATCAACGCTGTAGATATAGATTACCTAGCCAAACTACTTCAAAACGTTTGATACATATGTGCTTGCCTATTTTCAGTCTATTAAGGTTACCTTTTTGTTGTTGCTTTATACATTAAATATTATATTTACAAACTAATAAAAAGCAACGAAATCCATGTTGACACAAAGAATATTAAAATGTGCTCAGTAAAAAAAACAATGTAAAATGTACATAACTTGAAGCCACAAAAGGTAATTTTTTATCAAAAACGAATAATTTTGAATTAGAATAAGTATGATTTTTATGAAAAAATAAGCTTTTGTCATTTTAAATCGACTTTCTTGATTGATTGAATATTTAAAAATACAATTCAATCATACAATAGAAAAATTAAATTCGACAAATAAAACTGAGAATAGTATTTTGATCAGGAATATTCATCTTAAGTATGAAATTCTGAAAGTAAGTAGTCAGCTAGCCCTGGGGATTATAATATTCTGTAATACACAGAATGTAAAAATTGTGATAAAAATTGTAATGTTGAAACAATAACAAAAAAACAAACAAACTAAGTTACATAACATCAATATACATCACTAACCTATTTTGTTACTCATTGCAAAACGCTGTGTCTACTTGGCAGTTTAAAAATATAAAGATATTTATATATTATATTCGGCGATTTTTCGTAAAATTGTATTTATACAGACTAAAATTATAATATCACAATTTTCTTTTGTACAAATTAAAAACACTAGGGACAAATTACAATAAAAATTACTTCTTATTTACACGTTTTTCTGAGAATATTAATGTCAACAACGCTTTGAGTATTTCAATAAATGGTTTTAACAGATATTTAAAAAATATATATTATTATTATAATATAAGAAGACAGATATTTTTCGAAAGCCATCAATTTAGTCCACGTTAATGCTGTATATTATGTGCATTATATCGGGTGTCAATTTGAAAACTTCCCACCCTTAATACCTTTCTTGCAGTTTAAAATATGAAAATGAAAAAAATTAAAACCAAAGTGGCACATCGTTTTAAAGGTCGTTCAATTCTCTTTACATTAGTTACTACTTTGTTGCTTTTTGTCCAGAGGTTTCCAAATAATCGCGTTTCAAAGTTGTAGAAACAATTAAACTTGCCTGCATTGAGATTTTATTATTGCTTACAGGATAATAGACAATATTTTGAACAACTTATAAAATAGTGCGTAAATAGATCCCATGTGTTTTATTGTAGAAATTTCTCTTCCGCACATAAAAAGTTAATTTTGTCACTGTAAAATAATTAATAAATAAGAAATAAGATCAAAATCAAAAATAAGAAATCAATGTTTAAAATAGATTTTATTCCTGTTATTCAACAATTTTAACAGTGTAACCTACCCTCCTAATCATTTGTAGTACAAGGAGACCCAATACAATTGTTTTTGTGTAAACACTAATCTGAAAACCAAAATCTCAATGCAGGCAAGTTCAATTGTTTCTACAACTTTGAAACGCGATTATTCGGAAAACTTTGGACAAAAAGCAACAAAGTAATAACTAATGTAAAGATAATTGAACGTCCTTTAAAACGATGTGCCACTTGCCGCCCATTTAAGATTCTCCGGGTGACATCTACCCGTCCTAGGGGGTTGAAACAAGGAGGAAAAATATTCATTTAAAGTGTCCCCCTTATATCAGGGTCCCCCATACAGAGTCTTTCCGATTTTTCATATTTTCAACTGCAAGAAAGATATTAAGGGTGGGAAGTTTTTAAATTGACACCCCGTATATTAATTTTATAATATAATCTACATAACGTATCGTGGAAATCAATCGAACACAACTTCTTGTCTTCTTGATATGCTGGAAAACTTGCGAATTTAATTTGTGAATACAGGATATTTTGGTAAGTCAATGAAGTATCAGAAATTCTCGATATATTTATTATATCCTAAAACGCATAATTTCCCATCTAGATAGTGTTAAAATGTCATTTAAATAATTTTCACTTTTAAATCCAATTTACAAATTAAAATAATTTATCTTGCGGCAACTACTTGGAATAATCGAAATAAAAGTTTAGAAACGATTCAATAAAGCGATTTATGAATGCAATACAAAACGACTTAAAAATGAATTTAATACTTAAGATCAGTTTAAGGAATTTTAACGTATGAATAAAGTAATATAAATCTAGAGAAAGATAAAGAAACCATACAACCGATGTTAACTCCTTCAGTAATAGTTTTTATACTAAAATTGGTTCAATTCAATTGCTTAATTTCTGCTATAATTAAACTTGATTAAAAAATAACAAAATGAAACATTAATTACAACCGCATTACGCTGTGCAATGATTCTATTATATTTGTTTTTTGAACAATACAAGGAAACCTCTCGGCTGCCAAACCAAATAGAACTTTCAATTCTAGGCGATTTCTGCAATATTAGTAAATTTCGTGTAATTTAAGAAAATCTTCTCAGTATATATTTAGATCTGAAATTAAGCGTTTTCTGAATTTCATGCAATTAACCAACCAGGCTGGATAATGTAAAAACAATTGAGAGAAATTCAACAACGGATTCAAATGAAAGTTGTTATGGACCGATAAGCATAAAATACTCAAAATTGGAAGAATTAGTTGTAATTTATACAGAATTGTCTAATTGTGACTGCCTAGTTACACAGCGCTCTACAAAAGAGCCGCAGCTGTGTGATACAGTTGAACTAGGACCTGCATATGAACGGGCAAACAAGAGAGACGATCTTTTGTGTTGGAGTCGAAGGACAGCCATGAAAGAGCATTATAGCCCTCGAGCACATACCTAAAAAATAACCAATCTTATAATAAAACGAAGAAAATAATAAAAAAATATAAAATCAAATATGGTATACTCATGTGAGAAGCTAAGTTAGAAACAGTTGCATTACAAAGTAGATTTTTGACTGTAAGTAAAATGTGATAAGCAAATAAAAAGGCCTGTGTCCCATTTATCCTTTTATACGATGATACGCAAGTGTTTCTATTGGTTGGGTGATCTCTAAATTCCGCATCAAGCTGAAAAATGTTCAACTTTATACATTCATTGTTTACATAATAGATTTTATGCTTAATTTACTGTAAGGGCATCAACAAACGAGCGACTTTTGTAGCTCAATTTAGTCGCCATGATCCAGCGACTGACGTGCCTGAATACGGATCACATTTTTGAACCATCAACAGTCCAGCCAAAACAAATTCGTCTGACGCTACCACAATATTGTGGCCAGTCTGTTTGAACCCGTTCAGACCTGTCAGTTTGATACAGGGTTTTAAAAATCG